AGCAGGATTTCCTGCAAGTCTCTCAAGAACCAGAGCAGGGAGTTCCATGTTCACAATGAGACTGTCAAGGAGCCCTGTGGGGGCCCATGAGCCCAGAATATTGGCATAGCTGTGGAGCTTTGAGGGGTCTGGATGCCTATAGGACATGGTGCATGAGAAGTGGGGCATGGGGGGAAGCAAGGCTCGGGGCTGGAGAGATGCTCAGTAGTTCAGAGCACTGGTTGTTCTTTCAGAGAACCCAGGTTCAATTCCCACCACCCACATGGTGGCTAACAACTGTCCATAACTCCAGTTTCAGGGGGTCCGACGCCCTCTTCTGACTTGCATGGGCATTGCGAGACACGGGTGCACTTACATACATGCAGGCAGTACATTCCTATACATAAAATAAAAATAATAAAATATTAAAAAGAAACCAGCCACTTAGGAGGCAGAGGCAGGCGGATCTCTGTGAGTTCAAGGCCAGCCTGGTCTACATAGTGAGTTCCAGGCCAGCGGGGGCTACAGGGAGACCCTGTCTCAAAAAGACACCAAGGCTGTCTCCTCACCAGGCTAACAGTCTGCGAGTGTGTGTTTGGGGTCCTGGAAGGTTTTTGTAGCTGAGCAGGATGTGGTCTGAAATAAAATTCGTCTTTTGGGGACCTCTGATATCACAGGGAATGGCATACCTGCATCCCTACCTCACCTCTGTGTACAACTTTAGTCCAGACCCTCTCACTGCCTCTGGTTATAACCCTGCTTTGCACTAATTGAGCATGTGGAAACAGATTGTCCCAGACCATAATTAGCCATTACCTAGCATGCAGGCTGCCATACTGAAACTGGTACTCAAGGCACACATCACTGATAGATCCCAGCTCCTGCTACTTCTGAGTGTGAAGCTCAAAGGCAGACATGCATAATCAATCGCAGTTACCATCTGAATCTTTTGAGCATCTGAATCTGGGTTCTTTCAAGGTAATTTGAGTTCTTTCAAGTTCTCTGGGTTGTCCCAATGCCTAGGACACATTTCATACTTGCACTTTTGCTACACAGATGCCTCACGTGTCCTTTTCAAGGACCCATTTAGACATCACCTCTTTCAGGAAGCACAGTGGGTTCTCAGTCTGGTAGCCCTGGCTGACTTTGACCTCAAGGGTGTTCTTCTTCCTCAACGCAAGTGCTGTAACCACACCTGGATTCTTGTGATTGTATGCACCTGTGTCTTCCTCCTCCATGGCTTCATTTGTGAAGGTCAGATACTGAGTGTGATGTCTGTGCAATGGACCTGCCTCCACCTTGGTTGGTGAACAGTGTCAGAATGTGGATTGGCGATGTTGGGGGTGGGGGTTCCTCTCTGTCCCTGTGTCTCTCCTGTGGCAGTTTGATGACCTATCTCAGGAACCTGTCACCTTTTTATTCTTGGCATAAGCCAAACGCCCTGGTTTTTGGTTTTTGGTGTTTGGATTTTTTTCCCCAGGCTTGGGGCTTGAACCCAGGGTAGGAAAGGAATCAAGTAGGTGCACGAGTGCTGAGCCACACCCCAGCCCCACTGGGGGACTCTACACCACTGAACCACACCCCAGCCCCTCACTGGAGGATCCTAGGCAGGGGCTCTACCACTGAGCCACACCCCAGCCCCTCACTGGGGGAGTCCAGGCAGGGGCTCTACTGCTGAGCCACACCCCAGCCCCTCACTGGGGGATTCTAGGCAGGGGCTCTACCGCTGAGCCACACCCAGCCCCTCACTGGGGGATCCTAGGCAGGGGCTCTACTGCTGAGCCACACCTCAGCCTCTCACTGGGGGATCCTAGGCAGGGACTCTACCATTAAACTACATGTGCTTTTTTTTTTTAAGTCTTATTTTATATGTGTAGGTATTTTGCCTACACGTATGGAAGTGCACCATATGCATGCAGTGCTGGTGGAGGTCAGAAGAGGATGTCAGATTTCCTGGAACTGAAGTTATAGATGGTTGTGAGCCATGTGGGTGCTGGGAACTGAGCCCAGGTCCTCTGCAAGAACAGCCAGTGCTCTTAACCACTGAGCTATCTCTCTACCTGCCCCCCCCCCCACTCTTTTTGTTTTTTGAGACAGAGACTCTTTGTAGCCCCAGTTGGCCTGGAACTCACTATGGAGACCGGGCTGGCCTCTATCTCACAGAGACCCTCCTGCCCCTGCCTCCTGAATGCTGGGATTAAAGGTGTTCGCCACCCCACCGAACTCCCCTCTACTTTTTGAGATGGTGTCTCTCTATGCATCCCTGCTTAAACCCTCAATCCTCCTGGCTCAGCCTCCCAAGTAGCCGGGATGACAGGCCTGCTGACCACCACCGTTGTGGGTCTTTGCTCTGTGGTGTGAGAGCCTGATGGAAGGCTTTGAGGCTGTCGCTGTCTCTTCGGATTCTTGGACTGAAGTGACTGTAGGCTGGGTGGCATGGAACAGTACCGATGTCTTGCTCATACCTCTGGAGTCTGGAAGTCCAAATCATCCTGTCAGCAGATTCAACTTTTGGTTAGGCCACCTTCCTGGTTGCTAGGTGACACCTTCAAGCTGTGTCCCCACAAAGGAGCCTTTTACACTCTTGACCTGTTTCATAGATACATGTCTATACACCATCACACGTTATTGATTGGCCTTTTAGGTTGGGCTCAGAAGTAGCAAGAGCTGTGATCTTTTAGTGATGTCTGCTGTGTGTACCAACTCCAATCTGGGGACCTGCATGTTAAGTTGTGGCTGTTTTTTGCTTGGGACAATTTGCTTCCACCCTTCCATGTTTTATGACTCTAGATCAATCATGGCGGTACAAAAACTGGGTTATAACCACATGCTGAAAAGGAGGCAGAGAGAGGGTCTTGGCTAAAGTTGTATTCAGAGGTGAGGCAGGGATTTGGGGTGGGGGCAATGACAAGGATTTAGACCATGGCTCTGAGGCACTGCTGCTGTGACCCTGAATTTAGCAAGGGTTTATGGCTCCCTACTGGTGGGTGGGTATTCAAGACCTGTCATTACTTACATCACAGGAAGTTGTAACCTTGTGGCTTAAAAACAAGTTACCTGCTCAGGCATTAGCTGGAGGCTGGGCCTGGTGGTACAGGCCTGTCATCCCAGCTACCCAGGAGGCTGACCTTGGAGGATGGCAAGTTCAAGTTCAACCTGGGCAAGTTAGGGATATTCTATCTCAAAAAGATGCCTTGGCGGGGGGGGAGACTGGAGAGATGGCAGAGGACTAGGGTTTAGTTCCCAGCACCCACATCAGGAGACTTACAATGACTTGTAAGTCTAGTTCCAGGGGATGTGATACCCTCTGACCTCCAATGGCACCTGCATGCATGTGATGCACATAAACTCAGGCAGTCACACATACATCCACATAATCTTTTTTTTTTTGGTCTTTTTGAGACAGGTTCTCCCTGTAGCCCCAGCTGCCCTGAAACTCACTATGTAGACCAGGCTGGCCTCAAACTCAACAGAGATCTGCCTGCCTCTTAAGTGTGTATGAGTGTTATGCCTGCATGTATATACATGCACTCATGTTGCACAATGCCCACAGAGGCCAAAAGAGGGCATCAGATTTCCTGGAACTGGAGTTACGGACAGTTGTTAACTCAAAAGGATGCAGAGAGAGTGTCTTGGCTAAAGGGTGGGTGCTGAGAATCAAACCTGGGTCCTAGGGGGTATAGCTCAGCATTTGACTGCACACCTGGGTCCTCTGCAAGAGCAGCCAATCCTCTTAACCACTGAGCCATCTCACAATCCCCAAATAAATCTTTTTTTTTAATTTTTCAAATGTATATCCGGGCGTGGTGGCACACGCCTTTAATCCCAGCACTCGGGAGGCAGAGGCAGGGGATCTCTGTGAGTTCAAGGCCAGTCTGGTCAACATAGTGGGTTCCAGGACAGCTGGGGGTAAAGGGAGACCCTTTCTCAAAAAAACCAAAAAAAAAAAAAAAAATTTTTTTTTTAAATGTATTTTTATTTTGTATGTATGACTCTAGCTGTATGTAAGTGCACTACATGCATACAATGCCTATAGGGCCCAGCAAAGGGCATTGAATTTTCTGGCACTGGAGTTATGTTAGATGCCAAATGTGAGCTGGGAACTGAATCTGGGTTCCCTATAAGCGGAACCAGGGCTCTTAATTGCTGAGCTTTCTCTCCAGCCCCATAATAAGCCTTAAAAGAAAAAAGAGGTGGGGGAGTGGAAGAATTATAGGTATGTAACACAGCACTATAACGCCCGCCTTGTATCCAGCAGTGGGGGGCTGGGGGCGTGGCTTAGCATGCAGCACTTGCCTAGCATGTATATACCAGACTACAGACTGCGTTGGATCCCCAGTGCTGGGGGAGAAGTAGGGCGGGGCCAAGCACTTTAGCCCGGAAATAGGAGACGGTAGGGTTAAACTGCATCTTGGGTCCTAGGACAACATGAAACCAAAAGATGCATAAAGGGCAATGTTTGGCTGTTTGTATGTGAGTCTGTATTTTGCTTTTAGTGATGTTCTTTAGTTTCTTGAGATTTTTTTTTTTTTGGTGTTTTTGAGACAGGGTCTTTCTGTAGCCCCAGCTGTCCTGGAACTCACTATGTAGACCAGGCTGGCCTTGAACTCACCGAGATCCACCTGCCTCTGCCTCCCGAGTGAAGATTTATTTTTTTAATTATGTGTGTCTGTGCGGGTACGTGTACTTGAGTGCAAATGCTTGTACAAACTAGAAGATTGCATTGGATCCCCTGGAGCTGGAGTTAGGGGTGATTGCAAGCCATCTGATGTGGGTGCTGGGAACTGAACCTGGGTCCTCCGAAAGAAGAGCAGTATGCACTCTTAACCTTTAATGCATCTATCTCTCCTGCCCTGTTTTTAGTTTTTGGGTGTACACTTGAAACAATTCTGCTTCAGCCTCTTGAGTGCTGGCCTTACAGGTGTGAGCCACCCCACCCCACCAGCTCTCCGTTTTCTTTATGGGTCAGTGGGACTGACTGGGGACAACCTTTCCGGTGTCTCTGCCCTCTTCCTCTTCAGCTGGCGCTGCAGACCGGTCGGGAACCTCCGCCCATCTGGCGCGTCCAGAAGGCCCTCTTGCAGAAGTTCACTCCAGAGATCAAGGATGGCCAGAGACAGTTTTGTGCCACCAGTAATGTAAGCCAGTGGATGGGGTTATGGATTATGATGGAGAGTGCTTGGTACTGGGGTCCCTCACCCTGGGGCAGAGTAGGTTGGCTCCTCCCCGGCTGCAAGGTGGGTTGGTAAAGCAAGGCGGCTCTCACTCCCTTACAGTATCTGGGCTACTTTGGGGATGCAAAAAACCGGTACCAGCGCCTTTATGTGAAGTTCTTGGAGAATGTCAACAAGAAGGATTACGTGAGGGTGTGCGCCCGGAAACCCTGGCACCGGCCCCCAGTGCCAGTCAGGTACCAGCAGCACCGTGTCACCCAGAGGGAGGGGTGTGAGGCTGATCCCATGTGCAGGAGGAACTAGAGCTTTCCAGAGAGGGAAGCAGCCCAAAAAGGAGATAGGTGGAGGAGGGTGATGAGAGACCAAGGGGAGGAGGGAGGGAGGGAGGGAAACAGACCCAGAGAGAGGAGGGAGAAAAAGAGAGAGAAGAAAAACAGACCCAGAGAGAGAGGAGGGCACAGACAGAGACCCAGAGAGAGGAGGGGCGGGGATCACCAGGAGGAGAGTGATGGAAGCTTGAAGACCATGGGGTATGCTTGCAGGTCCCAGGGAATGGGAGTGGGGGTGGGGGTCTTCGGCCTGCTGATGACAGTCCCTTCTTTCTTCTGCAGAAGGTCAGGGCAGGCCAAGGGCCCCTCCTCAGCCGGGGGCAGTTCTGCGCCTCCACCCAAGGCCCCAGCCCCACCCCCCAAGCCTGAGACCCCTGAGAAAGTCACATCAGAGAAGCCCCCAGAGTCAACACCCGAGCCGGCTGTGCCCGAGCCCCCTACCCCAGAGAAGCCACCTCCATCCCGACCTGTGGAGAAGGAGAAGGAGAGGGAGAGGGTGACCCGTGGTGGTGAGCGGCCCTTGCGGAGTGAGCGGGCTGCCAGCGGCCGGCAAATGAGGCCTGATCGGGGCCTGACCACAGGACAGTCTGCCACCTCCCGGGTGCCCAAAACCAGGCCCTCAAAGGTGAAGGCCGAGCCGCCCCCAAAGAAGAGGAAGAAGTGGCTGAAGGAGGCGGTGGGCAGTGCCTCGGCAGGGGGCGGCGCGGGGGGCAGCTCCTCGGACTCGGACTCCTCCCCTGGTGCTCCCAGTGAGGATGGTAAATCCCAGCTGCTGCTTGCTGAGGGGGTCGCCTGGGGAGGGGGCACAGGCCTTCAGCCGACTCCAGGCAGCATCAGCAAATAGGGACACAGAGAAAACAGTTTGGTGGCACCTGCCTGTCACTCTAGCTACTCAGGAGGCTGAGGCAGGAGAGAAATTTCAAGGCCAGCCTGGGCTACTGTTTCAAAATCAAAAGTGATAAACCCCAACTGTGCTGTCTCATGCCTTTAATCCCTGCACTCAGGAGGCAGAGGCAGGTCCATCTCTGTGTTTAGGGCCAACCTGGCCTACATAGCAAGTTCTAGGCCAGCCAGGAATACATAGTAAGACCCTGTCTCAAAAACAAAAAAACCCCTGCAAGGTTTGGGTCTTCTTTGTCCCATTGGCTGTAAATTGGCTCACAGTCGCATCAACGAGCAAGGGAACTTGAGGAATGTAAGGGTTTTATTTTTTTATGTGTATGAATGTTTTGCCTGCATGTGTGTAAGTACGCTCATGTTGTGCAATGCCTGGAGGTCAGAAGAGGGCCTCGGATCCCCTGGAACTGGAGTTACAGATGGTTGTTAGCTGTCACATGGGTGCTGGGAACCGAACCTGAGTCCTCTGCAAGGTCAGCCAGTGCTCTTAACCGATGAGCATCTCTCTCTGCGCCCCTTTTTTCTTCTTTTTTCTCTTTATTTATTTATTTTTTGGTCTTTTTGAGACAGGGTCTCCCTGTAGCCCCAGCTGTCCTGGAACTCACTATGTAGACCAGGCTGGCCTTGAGCTCACAGAGATCCGCCTGCCTCTGCCTCCCGAGTGCTGGGACTACAGGCCTGCACCACCACACCCGGCTTCTTTATTTTTTTATTGAGACAGAGTTATGTAGCCCAGGCTATAGGAACTTGAAGAGATCCTTGAACTTCTAATGCTTCCACCACCACTTCCTGCTGGGATGACAGGTGTTGCCAGGTTTATTCAGTGCTGGGGATCAAACCCAGGGTTTGTGCGTGCTAGGCGAGCACTCTACCAACTGAGCTAGTCCCAGCTCTGATCTCTGTTCAGATTCAAGGTTTTGGTGACCAGGTGGGCTTCATTTGGTTTTTCTTGTCACTCCATGCTCTTCAGTGGCCTCGAATGAGCCAGTCCAGCCTGTCCTAAGCTGAGCTACTTGTTCCTCTGAGCTCTCTGCAGGGCCTGTGATCAGTCATTGGGGCGTCCTTTACAGAGCCTTGGCCCCCCGAGAAGGCCTGCTGGGGCCAGGGATTGTACTCCAGGTCCTTCTCATTGAACATAGTCTGTGCTGTACAGTGGTCTCAGGAATACGGACTGATGAATCTGTGTCGTCCCCCTCCTCCCTGTCCAGAGCGGGCAGTCCCTGGAAGACTGCTGAAGACTCGGGCCATGCGGGAAATGTACCGGAGCTACGTGGAGATGCTGGTGAGCACAGCCCTGGACCCAGACATGATCCAGGCCCTGGAGGACACGCACGGTAAGCTAGGGAAGGGAGCCCAGGAGGAGGGATGGGGCCAGGGATAGATGTGGATTCCAGGGTAGAGGTCTGGACCTGGGGAGGGGGGTGCTTTGGGACTCTGGGGAGAAGGGATGGGTCTGAGTAGGAAGGATGGGCCTGTGGGTGGAAACCAGTGCCTGAGGAAGAGGGTTGGCCTGGGAAGGAACTCTGGGCCTGGACTCATAGGTCTGAGGGGAGAAGTGATTTGGGGCCCTAGTCCTTGGGCCCAGCAGCTGTCACCCTCGCTCTTGCAGATGAGTTGTACCTCCCCCCCATGCGGAAGATCGACGGCCTCCTCAATGAGCACAAGAAAAAGGTCCTGAAACGGCTGTCGCTGAGCCCAGCCCTGCAGGTGCTTGGGGGCCTGGGCCGGGTGTGTGTGGGGCCCAGGACCAGGTGTGGAGACATGGAGGGCCCACTTGAGGTCCCTGGAGCACCTTTCTTAGAGTGGGACTGCGAGGGCCTGTCCAAGGCTTGGATGGCAGAAGGTGGGGGCCAGACTAGGGGAGTCTTTGACTTCCAAGTAGCCCCAAGTAGGAGAGCCTTAGGCCTAGTGATGGTGCTGGGGTATGTGTGGGGTGTTGGGAACAAGTGGGCTATATAAGACTGAGGAGCACGTGGCGTAATACAAGTGTGGAGATGAAAGATAGTGTAGGGCCTGTACCTGAGGCTCCTACTGGACCAGCCCATTGCCCTGGCCCCGGACCCCATGCATCAGACAGAACTCTTAGAATCCCAGACTGAATTCATGCCTGCACAGCCCTCCAGAGTGGCCTGGATAGAACATCAGGGCTGCCCTGAGAATTGTGAGGTGCGGTGCTGACCTGGCGCTGAAGGTTCCAGCCCTGACATCATGGGGCTAGAACTGTAGCTCAGTTGGTTGAGTGCTTGCCTAGCATGTGTAAGGCCTTGGGCACTGTTTCCAGGTGTGGTCATGTGGCCTAATGCTGTTAAGGCAGGAAACAGGTGAGGCCAGTCAGGATTCTGGAATAGGATGTCAGTCTTGCTTTGAGATTTCTGGGACAGAATATTAGTTGGCTTGGAGGCACCTCTCGACCCTAGCCTCAGAAAAGGTGGAGATAAAATGTTAGTCTGGTTCTGAGGATTCTAGGTAGTATGTTACTTTCGCCAAAAATTATATTGTGGTCGTCTTGTTCAATTTTTATGTTGCTGGCCATGAAACCCAGGCCCTCCAGCAGGCTCTGCTGCAAGCAGCATCACATAACAGAATTCCAGAATGGAGCGTGTCTCTCGAAAACCTGAGATTCTCGGGATAGTTTGATTTTGATATAATGTTTGGGGTCGTTTTGTTGTTTTTGTGGTTTGCTTTTTGTTTTTTTTTGAGACAGGGTCTCCAGTTGGCCTGGAACTTGCTACATAGACCAGGCTGGCCTCGATCTTACAGAGAAGGCTCCTGCCTCTGCCTACCCAGTGCTAAGATCAAAGGCATGCCGCACCCTTGTTTTGGTTTTTGAGACAGGGTCTCACCCTGACCAAAGCCAGCCTCCTTCACATCTGTCCTCTTGCCTCAGCTCTTAGCCTCCATGGTGCTGAGGTGACAGGCATGTGCCACCACAGGCTGGTTTGGGGACTTCTGGGATCTGTGGCTTTGATGATTTACAGAATTAGATTCTGGAATTCATGGGGACTGTTAATCTAGAGTCCAACCTGAGGCGGTCATGTGGCACCCAGTTTTGGAGTGGGGTGCAGTACGGTGATGAGAAATCTTCCTCTTATGTAAGTGGAAAACTACTACACACAGAACTCGGTACAGTAGTGCACCACTATCCCCTCAGCAGCTCAGGAGGCTGAGGCAGGAGAATGGCAATGCAAGGCCATCTTGGGCATCTTAGTGAGACTCTGACTTAGAATAAAAACCTAGCTGTGCGGTGGCACAGTACTATAATACAGGACTTGGAAGGCTGAGGTAGGGGGAACTCTGAGAAGTCAAGGCCAGCCCTGCACTACAGAGCAAGTTCCAGTCCAACCTGGGACACACAGTGAAACCTTGTCTCAAAAACCAGTCAGGCCGGGTGTGGTGGTGCACGCCTTTAATCCCAGCACTCAGGAGGCAGAGGCAGGCTGATCTCTGTGAGTTCGAGGCCAGCCTAGTCTATGTAGTGAGTTCAGGTCAGCTGGGACTACAGGGAGACCCTGTCTCAAAAAGACAAAAAAAAAAACCCAAAAAGCAAAAAGACAGAGTCTGGGGAGCTGGAGAGGTGGCTCAGCAGTTAAGAGCACTGGCTGCTCTTGCAGAGGGCCTCGGGTTCAGTTCCCAGCACCTACATGGTGGCTGACAACCGTCTGTAACTCTAGTTCCAGGAGATCCGACACCCTCTTCTGTCTTCCATGTTCCTCCATGAGCACTGCATGACGTGGTGCACTTACACGCAGACAAGACATTCATACACATAAAATATAATGATATTAATAATGATGATTATAATAAACCCTGCAAAACAGCCAGCCAGGTGTGGTAGCACACACCTTTAATCCCAGCCCTCAGGAGGCAAAGGCAAGCAGATCTCTGCAAGATAAAGGCCACCCTGGTCCACATGGTGACTTTTAGGGCAGCTGGGGCTAGGGAGACCCTGTCAAAAAATAATAATAAGCCACAAAAATCAGCCAGCCAAGCAGTGTCATGTGCCTTTAATCCTAGCACTCGGGAGGAAGAGGCAAGCAAATCTCTGCTAGAGGCCAGCCTGGTCTACATAGCAAGTTCCAGGCCAGTCAGTGCTACATAGTGAGACTTTGTCTCAAAAAAACAAAAACAAGGGTTTGGGGATTTAGCTCACTGGTAGAGTGCTTGCCTGGCAAGCACAAGGCCCTGGGTTCGGTCCTCAGCTCCAGAAAAAAAAAAAGACAACAAAAACAAAATGAAGGGGAAAAACAGCCAGTTGCGGGCACTTGGGTCTGTAATTCTAGCACATGGGAGTAAAGGGCAAGTGTGTCGTTAGCTTAAAGCACTCAGCTACAGAGCGCGTTTGAGCTTGGACTTGACAAGAGGCCGTCTCAAAAAAATAAAAATAAAGTAAATAAGGGGCCTGGGCATGCAGTTCAGTTGGTAGAGTCTGCTTGGAGTGTGTGACGCCCTGGGCTCTATTCCCAACATTTCATAAACTGGGTGTGATAATGCACACTTGTCATCCCAGCACTTTGGAGGTAGAGGCAGAAGGATCAGAAGTTCAAGGTCACCCCCAACTATATAGTGAGTTCAAGGCTAGCCTACACTAGAGACCTTGGCTCTATATCAATTATGTAGATAACATATATCTATGTGTATATATAGATTATAGATATATAGTGTGAGGAAAGTGAAGAGATCTGTACAGCTCGGTGGTAGGCAGAGTACTTGCCTAGCATGTAAGAATTTGGGTACTGTGGCACCGAGAGCTGTGGGATTGTCTGTCTGTCCCTTAGTCTGGATTTGGGTAGTACGCAGGTCCAGGGATGCAAGCCCTGACACCCTTGGCTTCTTGTAGGATGCCCTGCACACCTTCCCACAGCTGCAGGTGGAGCAGACCGGGGAGGGCTCCCCTGAAGAGGGGGCCGTGCGGCTGCGGCCTGCTGGGGAGCCCTACAACCGCAAGACGCTCAGCAAGCTGAAGAGGAACGTTGTGCGAGCCCAGGTGAGACCCGGCATGGGCCAGGGGAAAGGTGGGCCCAGTGGCACTGACCAGAGGGACTGAGTCTCTGTTCCTCCATCTGCAGGAGTTCAAAGTGGAGCTGGAGAAGTCGGGGTACTACACCCTTTACCACTCTCTACACCACTACAAGTACCACACCTTTCTGCGCTGCCGTGACCAGGTGCGCCCTAGTGCAACACCCTGGGTTCCAGGCTTGGTATCTCCTGAGCCTCTTCCCTCAGACCCAGGAGTCCAGACCCCAGCCCTTCTATGCCAGACCTAGGGGTCTAGGACCCAGCCCTCCTCCCTCAGACCCAGGGATCCAGAGCCCAGCCCTTTTCCTTCAGACCCAGGGGTCCTCCCCAGCCCTCCTTCCTCAGACCCAGACGGAATCTGGACACCAGCTCTCCTTCTCAGACCCAGAGATGCGTGCCCCAGCCTCCTCCCTCAGACCTAATGGTCAAGGTCCCAATCCCCATCCTCAAACTTAAGATTTCTCCCCAACCATCTTCCCTCAGGCCCAGAGATCCCAAGACCCAGCATCCTCCCTCAGGCCCAGAGGTCCTCCCCATCCTCCCCATCCTCCCCACCTCCCCAGCACCCAAACCTTCTTTCCCTGGTTGGACCTGCCCTCAGTTTCTTTGTTTGGCCTTTACAGACCCTGGCCATCGAGGGCGGTGCTGAGGACCTGGGCCAGGAGGAGGTGGTCCAGCAGTGCATGCGTAACCAGCCGTGGCTAGAGCAGCTCTTTGACTCGTTCAGTGACCTACTGGCCCAAGCACAGGCCCATAGCCGCTGCGGGTGATCTCACCCCACCTGGCGAGGCCTTCATGAACCGAACTGAGAACTGGGACAGAGCTGTGTCCTCAGGAGCTGATCCCTGGGCTCCTTAGCTGCCAGGAGGGAAGGGGTAGTCCTTGGCCAGGGTGTGTCCATACAGCTCCCCCCCCCCACCCGGGGCAGGGTTCAGCAGTTGACTACCCCCACTCCCAAGCCCTCTCTACCCCCTCATGCCTCCCCCTGTTCGGTGTACAGAGAAATTATTTATATATATGTATAAATGTCTATTTAGTAACACTTTCCCTGTCCCCTGGCCCAGCTCCCCTCCCCCTCCACAGCCATCACCCCTGCCCCTCCACCATGTACATAATGTATAGGAAAGTTCTATGTATGGTTGAGGGAGGTGAGGTGGCTTGGGAGAGCTGGGGGACTCCCCCTCCCCTCTCAAGCTCCCCTCTCCAGGCCAACATCTTTGCTAAAGGCCACTCCCCAGGGCATTTGGTGTTGGGGTGGGGAGGGGCAAAACACATCTTGTTAATTATTTTTAATCTTATTTATTGTACATACCTGGGGCAGGGGGTGGGGTGGCTGGGGAGGGGGAGGGGGAAAGGGCTCCCCTTGCTCTGCCCCCCTGTTCTTTTTCTACAGCAATCTGTCTATGTCTCCCCGAACCTCGGCCCCCCTTCCCTTCTCAATGTGGTTCTATTTTTTAATCAATCCCCCCTTTCCAGGTCCTCGCCCCCTCTCTGCCCTGTTCCCTCCTTCTCCTGACCCATCGTCTCTTGCTCTTTCCTGGGCGCTGTACAACTCACCTTGTATACACTGTGTACACACAACCAGCCAAACGAAACCCAACAGCAACACTTTACCAGCAGGCTGGAGTGTTCTGTCCGGCGGCGTCAGGGTGGGCCTGGGTAATGGGAGCAAGGTGGTAAAGGGGCTTCACTGGAGCCCATGTGCTGACCCCACACAGCCTGAGGTCAAATATGTGTGGCCTCGAAATCTAATGACCTCAAATAACAAACATGAATTTTGTTGTGGTTTCTGAAGATCAAGGGAGCTGGGAGGAGGGGAGGAGAGCCTGGGGGTCTGTCATAAAGGGCCACTGTAGAAGTCACCTGCCAGGCTGTTCAGGGGTTTGCAGCTGCTCGGGGCCTCATTGCTCCACTGTGTGGCTTTACCATTGAGCTCCCTGAACATTCTTAAAACATGGCGGCTGACGAAGAGGCCATCAAAATCATTTGCTACTGTTCTTGTGGCCCTGGAAAGGCTTGGGGCTGAAGTGATGACTCTTGCAGAGGCCCAGAGAGTAAAGTTCTCAGTACCCATGTTAGGTGGTGCAAAACCACCTGTAACTCCAGCTCTGGGGAACTGACACCCTCTTCTGGTCAGTGTTTACACCTGCACTCATGTAGGCATATACCCACACACAGACACATAGCTGCAAATGAAAATTCTACTGCTCGACACGTTCACATAGAAGACAAACACCAGCACTTGGGAGGCAGAGGCAGGTGGATCTCTGTGAGTTCAAGGCTAGCCTGGTCTACATAGTGAGTTCCAGGACAGCTGGGGCTACAGGGAGACCCTGTCTCAAAAAGACAAAAAAAAAAAAAAAAAAAAGCCAAACACCATTTGTATTTTGAGACAGTCTCAAGTAGCCCAGTCTCATCTCAAATTCACTGTGTAGCAGTGGCTGGCCTTAAACTACTGATCCTCTTGCCTCCAAAATGCTGTGATTGCTTGTGTACACTGCCACACCTAGCTAAATTCCACTTCTTGGAAAGTAGATGGACATTTCGAGCATATTTTTAGGTTGACTTGGTGTGACAGGTGTCAGGAGGTAGATAGCAATCCTAAAGTACAGTTGAGGGTGGGTCTCTTCCAGAACCCTGAAATTCCAAAGGTCATGTGTGACCTCGAAGCATCTGAGATACTATGTTGCTTGGAGTGCTAGATTCTCTTGCTGTGACTGTGGATGTGCAGTGTAATGCATGACAGGTCCCATGTCACGGAGCCTTGTTATTCAAAGTGTCCTTGGAATCCCCTCAGAGCTTGTTGAAATTGGATCCCAAATCCATTAAGTCAAAAGAGAACTTAAAATAGGTGCTGGACATGATGTAATCTGCATTGGAGAGTGAGGCAGGAGGCTCACCAAAATTCAAGGCCACCCTGAGCAACTTAGGCAGCCCTGCTTGAAAAGTGACAAGCACTGAGAACTTGGTGCAGTGGTAGAGCCCCTGCCTAGAATCCCCAAGTGAGGGGCTGGGGGCATGGCTTAAAATTGAGTTTATATTAGTCCAGGATTAATTAGTTTAAATTTGTTTATATTAGTCCAGGGCACAGGGGATGGGGATGCATGCCTTTAAACCCAACACTCAGGAAGCAAAGGCAGACAGATCTCAGTGAGCTGAAGGCCAGCCTGGTCTCCATAGTGAATTCCAAGCCAGCTGGGGCTACAGGGAGACCCTGTCTCCAGAAGACCAAAGGGTGTGTGTCGGGGGGGGGGTGGTTTGGCTTGCTTTTGGAAGGACCTGGATTTCATTCCTAATATGGATGGAAGAGGAGGAGACTAAAATTGTAGCATCAATGGAGTTAGCCTTCTAGTGAGTGTTGAGGATGGACCTCCAGTGACTGAACTTTGGCCTGCAGGCAGAAATGGGCAGCAGCACAGTCCAGATTGTAGATTCCTGAGACAAACGTGGTAGAAGTCCCAAGATCAGAGGTATTGTCCCAGCTCACAGTTCTAGAACAGAAGGAAACATTCTGTACTGGAGGGATATGTGCAAGCTCTACCTTCGAGACCAGACTGACCTTGCTGCCCTTTGGACCCCAGCAGCTGCTGTGGTTTGTAGCCTGCAGCCCCAAGCCTCAGTTTTCCTATTTACATTATGGGCTTTTGCAGCTTAGAAAAGAAATTGGTGTTGGGTCAAGCACCATCTAGATAACTCAATATTCACAGGAGATGGTGGGCAGAGGTCTGTAATCCAAGTAAGAAAAATAAACCCGTAGTAAACAAGGACATCAAAACTGGGGACTGGCCGGGCATGAGTCACACGCCTTTAATCCCAGCCACTCTAGGGGCCAGAGCAACTGAATCTCGAGTTCAAGGCCAGCCAGGGCTAAGTAGCAAGACCCTTAAAGTGGGAGACAAGCTTGGTCTGAGGCGGGGATGCTGAGGCAGGGAGATTGTGGAGAGTTAGAGCCCCAGTCTTGGCTACAGAGAGGCACCTTGCAGCAAAAACCCAAAACAGAAGCATTAGGGCCTGCCAGAGCCTCAGAGGACAGAAACTTTAGCACAGGCACAAACACGTGCCTAGATGCCAGTTCAGGCCATGCCAGGCTTTCAGTCTTGTCTTAGAATCTTTGGAACGAATGGCACTGACCAGGAGCCTTCCAAAACTGGCCTGCAACTATCATGCTTCTCTGGGGCAAGCAGTGACTTGTCACCTCAGTGTGCATCTTGGAACTGCAAAAGCCAGCGTGTCCTGGCCAAGAACTCCACCCTACCACACAACGAAAGAAAGATTTCCCCGACTCAAATCATTGCTGATTGGCTCACGGGACCCAAGAGTGCCCCGCTCGGGGACTAGAATGCACTGTAGACCTTGGCCGGGACTGATGGATAGGCTGTGACCCACGGCAGGTTCCGCCTCTCACTGCAGGGGTGGCCCCTTCTCAGACTGAACAAGCCACACAATGAGTCTGTGCCCTGCTCAGTCCCAGGGCGGAAGGTTGACTACAGGCCAAGGATTCTGAGATAATGAAGGCCGGAAAGGGGTATTGCTAATCGGAGTTCTAATCTGAGTACTAAATGGCATTCACAGTCCTGCGACTGAAAAGAAGGCAGTACGTCATGGGTATTGGTACTGAGCACCCAGTAGAGACCAGGCACTGCATGGGTGTTGGTACTGAGCACCCAGTAGAGACCAGGCACTGCTCCCTGAGGGGGCCCTCCTGCAACCTCTGCCCACTCTGTAGAAACAGTACCAGGATGAGCAATTTTCCCACAAAACCTGGACAGCTGCTCTGGACTTGATTTGCCAGGGGCTGGACATAGGCCATGGTCGACCCAGGGACCCTGCAGTGGGTGTGTGAGGTGTTCTAGAATTAGCACTGTTGGAAGCAGACTGATGATTGCTGACAGGGATCAAATGGAAGCCTACATTGGGGGTCAGTTCAGATGAGGTCATGGCCTGGTGTGTTGAATGATTTGTTGGGAGTTAAAAGACAATCCAGCCAGGCATGTTGGCACATGCCTACAATCCCTGCACTTGATGGTGGAGGCACAAGGATCAGGAGTTCAAAAACAGCATGGGCTACATAGAGACCACTGTGGGCTACATGAGACCTTATCTAATATATTAGGGGGCTAGAGAGATGGCTTAGTGGTTAAGAGTACTTCCTGTCCTTCCCAAGGACCCAGGTTCACTCCAAGCACCCACATAGCAGCTCAGAATTGTCCAGTAACTAATTACTGTAAGTCCAGTTCCAGGGGATCCAACACCCTCTTCTGCTCTCCAGGGACATTGCATGGACATGGTGTACTTACACACATGCAGGCAAAACATACATAGAAAAAATATTACTCAGATGGGGCTGGGGGGGTAAATGTCTAATGGTCACCAAGTCTGGATCCAGCCTCTCAGGAGTTCACATAGTGGAACAGGATTGGGGGTCCTGGGTGCAATGTGGGTGTGTCCAAGGGACATGGATAGGTGAACTCTGAGTTTCTAGACTGAAATGTCTATTCATTGTGGCCTGAAGACGTCCTACATGACCGCCTCTCCCAGAAGCAGCTCCAATGGGTGTGTCCACAAGGGCCCTGTTAAGAATTTAGATTCAGATGTCAGCTCCACTGGGAATTTTCTGGAACGGTGTACTTGGCAGATGGCTGGTTGGACACCATCCCACCCACCTGCCACTCACTGCAGCTAAAGGCCTTTCTCAACATGGAGAGCCTGATGGGCAGAGTTGGGGCTGTCTTCATGTCCCTAGAACTTTCTAGAACAGCACTGTCCCATCTGGTATGTTTGCCTTACCTGGTAGCCTGTTGAGCTCTTGAATTGTTTCTGGTGTTCTTTTTTGATGGAAATTTATTTTTTAAAATATTTTCTTGCCAGGCATGGTGCACGCCTTTAATCCCAGCACTCGGGAGGCAGAGGCAGGCGGATCTCTGTGAGTTCAAGGCCAGCCTGGTCTACATAGTGAGTTCCAGGACAGCTGGGGCTACAGGGAGACCCTGTCTCAAAAAGACCAAAAACAACAACCACAAAATTTTTCTTTATTATTTTTATTTTATGTGTATGCATGTATTGCCTGCATGTAGCTAAGTGCACCCGTGTCTCTCAATGCCTGGGGAGGACAGAAGAGGCTGTTGGATCCCCTGGAATTGGAGTTACGAACAGTTGTTAGCTGCCGTGTGTCTGCTGGGATTTGAACCCGGGTCTTCAAGAACAGTAAGTGTTCTTAACCACTGAGGCATCTCTCCAGTCCCCGATGGAAATTTTTTGATGTTTGTTTTGTTTTGTTTGAGACAGGGTCTCACTATGTAACTCTGGCTGGTCTAGAATTTGCTATGGGGACCAGGCTGGCCTTGAACTGACAGAGATCCACCTCCCTCTGCTTCCTGAGTGATGGGATCAAAGGTTTGCACCACTATGCCCAACAGAAAATGAGGTTTTAAAAAATATTTTAGGATGAGCCGGGTATGGTGGTGCACGCCTTTAATCCCAGCACTTGGGAGGCAG